GATCATCACAGGCTACTTGTGATGAATGCAAGACAGAGAACATGAAAAAATTTAATGTACTCACATGATTTTGAGGCTGCCAAGTTTGGTGAGTTGCCTTGGTATTTTACCAGTGAGCCTGTTCCCATTCAATCTCCTGTAGTTTCACATGAACAGTTAAGGATCATTCATAAAGGTTAAATTAAACTAGTTTAGCTCCTAAACCTTCTTCGATATCAGTATGAAAGACCAAAGAAAGAGGCACATTTAAGAAAGAAAAGACTGACAGGAAGTTGAGATTGGAGAGGTTGGAGAGGGAAGGAGGAATGGGGCCAGTGAGGTTGTTGTGGTAGAGATCTAAGCTGATGAGGCTCTTCAGCCGTCCGATCTCCTTTGGAATTGGACCCACCAATTCATTCATGTACAATTCCCTGCAACAACCAGACCCAACGCCCAATCCCACATTAAAGTTTGCAATAAATAAGTTTTCAAGAAAGAATCACCAAACCCAATTTTTTTTCATGTTCATTATGATCCTTGTAGTGGTTGATTGACTTGGGAATTGGAGTTGGTGACTCATTCTTAAATGAACCCTCCAACTTTCCCATCTCTTACCATTTTCTGCTCCCCAAGTCTCTGCTAATCTAATTCAAATTTGTGTGTTGGAACATAAGTGAATGAACAAGAAGATGTTACTCACAAATATTGAAGGTGGTCGAGATTCCCCAACTCAGGAACCAAGTTGCCAGACAACTTTGCATTTCCAAGATCGCTGCAACACAAACAGGACATGTGTGTCAAAAGAGTTGGAACACAAAAGGGGCTTGGTAGAAAGTGGAGAAAAAGAAGATATTTACAGGCGAGTGACGCGGTTAGCAGAGTCACAAGTGACATGGAACCAAGTACAAGGATCAACAAGAGTTGGATCCCAGCTCTGTAACACATTGTTTGGATCCTTCACTGATCTCCTCAAGGCGTACAAAGCATCCCCTATGTTCATCCAAGCACTGCCCCATCATTAGTTAAAGAAAAAAAGGAGTTTAGTTTATTTGAAGGGGTAGGTTGATTACCTTCTGAGTTGGGAGTTATGGGGACCAACAGATTTGAGAGCACAAAAACAGCAAGAGGAAGAAGAAGAGGAGGGAAGGTTGCCATTGTCAAGCAGTTGAAGGGGGAACAAAGATGAAGTTTATATATATATATATTTTTCAGAGAGAGAGAGAGAGAGAGAGAGAGAGAGGGAATTGAGAAATTGGAAGCGTGAAGAAGAATTTATAGAGCCCACAAAAGGGAAGTGGCTGCTCTTGGCTATTGGCTATTGGCTATTGGCTTTTGGCTTTTGGCTTAGTGCTGCGCTGTGTACCAATCTTGACGTCTTGTTTTTGTTGTATACTTCCTCTGTCATTTTTGGGAATTTTGTAATTGGTACCACAAAAACTGTACAACTCTTCCATGTTTTCTTGGAGGATTTGGGGCGATTGTGCGGTGCTCCTCCCTCTCAGCAAGTGAACCAAGGCAACTTAAGATAGCATCGTCTATGACCAAGTAACATATGCTCAAGCTTCTGACTTCATTTTAAGAAAAAAGTCTTAGAGAGTTTGAAAGTAAGATTGAAAGAGAAATATTGAAAGTAATGTTATATGTCTACCAACCCAACGACTTAAATGACATATAACTTTTGTGTGCAGCAGGGAGAAAAAGGTCCCGACTTTTGATTAATCTCTATTTTAAAAAAAGTCCTGACTCGAGATGATTTAACTTCTAATTTTTTTATGTCTCTCGATTGCTATATCATCATAATGTTTATATGACAAATTGAAATGAGATTCTGGGTGAGGGACATGTTTGAAAAATGTGGTCCATGGATGGAATGTGACCATACCTATCTCTATAACTTACTTTTTCCTACTCACCTAATAAAACCCAAAACAAAAATGGTTGGTAAGAAAAGCATCCGAGTGGTTATTTTTTTTTTAATAAAATTTAAGAGATTCTTTAGACTTCTAGTTTATTCCTAAATAAAACAAAAAAAAAAAAAAAACAAATCAAGAATAAAATTCAAAAAAAAAAAAATAATAAAAGAAAAAGAAAAGGAAGAAGAAGAAGAAGAAGAAGAAGAANAAGAAGAAGAAGAGTGAGTGGGAGGAAGAATCGGATACTCAAAAGGTGTAGAAACCACTGACATTTGTTTATTAATTTTTTCGTCAATAATTATTAAAGTAAAGAAGAGAAAGAAAAAAGAAAAAAGAAAAAAAAACATAAAATAGGAATAAAAGTTTGACTCCTAAAAGTGTGCTTTTCTATGTTATCTTTTGATTGAGATTTGGTTCACCTAAAAGCACCACTGCCCATTGCATTCCATAGTTTTATATAACCAATGGAATTTTCGAATAATGCCTGTCCCAACCCTATTTTATTATTCTCTTTGTAATTTTAATTCTTTTTTTTTTTTTTTTTATTCTACCTTTGTTCCACAACCATTAACACCCATCTCCATCTCCTTTCTCCTTTATCTACTTTCATTTCTTTACTCACTATAACATTGTCCAGATTTTCCTTCTTTTGATCCGTTCGGTATGTGGTTGTGTTTTTAGCCATTCAAGTGGGTACATTGAGATCATGAGCGTTGTCTTGATCATTGGCAATGAAGATTACATAAAACTTGTCGTGATCATTAATGTCATTGACCCGAATAAACCAGGTAGGCCTGAATCAATATTAGTATTGTATTTGATTGGGAAGTGTTGGAGAGTAAAGGAAGTATGAAAATGGTGGGTATTATACGAGGGAGATGGGGTGAAGAGGAAGGCCCACTTCGGTTAGAGGAGAGTGATAGCACATTGCAGGCATGTGAGAGACTCTTCTTTTGATGCCTAATCACCAACATAAATGGGTCCATTCACATCTCTTACTTTTGACTTTCTATCTTTACCAAACAAACACTAAACTAATTATTTAATTATTCACGGGGAGGACAAAAAATGCTAGAAGAATTATTATTGGTATATGGGGATAGGCTTATTCTTCTCCTACGGTCGTCGAATCTTGAATGACTATGTTTTTTGTTCTTAAATTTTCTTTATTTGTTGGTGTAATTAACTTGATTATTGCTTGAAAATGAAAATGAAAGGTGATAATCATAGTCCACCCGTTTGAAAATGACCCTAGTTGGGTAGGATATTAATGATGATAAACATATGTCCTTAAAAGAAGTGATTTGACTAAGTCTCCTCGACCCAGAAAAATAATAATAATAAATAAATTGTTTTCCCTCCATTTTTCTATCCAATTCTTCATAAAGAAAGGTGCAACAAAAACAAATAATGATGCAAAAAGTTGTCCATTTTCCTCCCCTCTGAGAGTTTAGTCACACAAACACCAAGCTCCTTGTTTCTTGGAGTACGTCGCAAGTCACTCGTACAAATATAACATTTTTATTCCGAGGTCACTACGCAGCCTTTACGAGTCTTAGTCTACTTCGGACGCGAAGCAAATAGAAAATCTTTGATACATAGAATTGGAAAAGCTTTTATCATCGTCAAACTCAGTCCTATGCTCAAGTTTGACCCAATTATCGATAAGGGTAAAATATTCTTAAAATGATGAAAATGGAGGAGGGAGTTCATGTGGATGATAAAAGTTATCTATCCATTTCTTTTTCCAAAAGTGTGAATATCATTTCAAATGCATATGTGATATTGACTCTGTTTTCCACTTACAAAATCAATCATCAGCAAAAATCTAAATTGACAAAGAAAGTTCATCTTCCTTTACACATCAAAGCTGCTGCCCAAATAATTAAGAACAATAAAGATTGCCTGAAATCACATATTCTGTTCTATTCTACCACTTTATAAGGTGCTTAACCACAGAGAACACGGAAGTACATAAGATGCACCCAACTATTACTCTTGCATACACAAGTTTACTTTTAAATTATTCCGAAAAAGTTCATTTTTCATACTAACTAGAATACACGTGTTTGTTCGTTTTTTCGTTGTCTTTAATAAAATAAGCATTCTTCATTTAGCTAAGTATATCTTAGCCAAACACACAATGTTGTGTATATTGTATGTTGAAGAAAATGAGGACAAGGAATGAACTGTCCTCTACGGTGACGCATAAAAAGATTCTCTGAGAATAGGTGCTGGGGAGGGGTTTGATCTATAGAAATAGCCAACACACATTTTGTAAGTCCAATTATACAGAATATATTCCGAGACAGAAACCTCGGTGAGTGTAGAGTGCAGTATATTGTTGTGGGTGGGGCTGCTCCTAATTTTAACTTATAACCCAAACTCCAATGAAAACATACATACATACATACATACATACATACCTAATATCTCCTTTTGCTTCAAAAGGAATGGACTGCACTCTCGCATTCAACATACGAGGAGAGGCTTTAATTCTACCTGATTTATGAGGAAGGAAGGAAAGGTTCAACATGGGAATGGAGAGTCATGTACTGTAGCCAAGGATGACTTGCCTGCAGCCTGCAACTTCATGAAGGGATCTGTAAAAAGCTGCCCCCTGCAATGGCATACTCATGCAGGCAGTCTCTTTGGCTATCGAGACCGGCTCTTATTTCCCATGCCGAACTTTCGCTTCCAGATTGAAAACCTCTGCAATCGACTTCGATTGTCTTTCTCTACATCTGCATCTGGGCAAGACCCCCTTGAACTCAGGTATACCATCTTTTCCGAGATGTTTCTCATTGTTTACTTGCGTGAGTGATCCCAGATCCTCATCGCTCATCAGAATCCAAGTCCCCTCAAACCAAGCAGGCAATAGCAAACCATCGATTATGCTCGACTTCATTTTGATATCGATAGCCAAATAGAGAAGAAAAAGAAAATCCCATCGTTGATTCATCCAGATGATGAGGTGCATGCTCAAAATGTAATTTGAGAGAGGTTAGAACAAATGGTGTCAGGAGATGCAGATAGTGAATGGCCACGGGAAATTAATTGAACAAACGCATATACCCATTTCAACTTATGAGGTGAATGATCAAGAGGTCTATGAAATGATTCCTCCAGACTAAGCTAGCGGTATTATATATCAACAACAATGCCAATGTAAGAACAAGTTATTTACAAGCGGTAAGTTATAAAAAAACATGTACTTGATTCTATCACAATTGTATCCAAACCTTGCCTATCCCTAATTGTAACAAGAACATCTCAAAAATAGCACAAGAGTATAGCAAATAAAAAACATGTACTTGGTTCTATCAAATAGCACAAGAGTATAGCAAATACTGACTGCAGACAATGCAAAATAGCCACACGATAAACTAGCAGCTCGTAAAAATCAAGCAGGCAATGCAAAGCTTGGCTGTGTCCAGTGTGGAGGATCCATCACAGCACACGCATCCGATTTCTCAAAATCACCAACCTAAGGAAATATGATAGTATCATTAATTACTCCAATTATCTATAATAGAGCAAAGTCTCAAATAACCAATATGCAGATAAGAAGAAGCAACTGAAAGAATTAAAAATGACAGGAAATAGTCATACCTTTTCCTTGCAGCTGGGACAATAGTGATACTTATGCCAAAGGCAATCCATTGAAGGACAAAGAAAGCATACTCCCAACATAAATGGCATCATACAACCGACGACAGCAGCTAAACTTATCTTCGATCTGCAGAGATCATGGAAGCATCACAACCATATGAAGAGGCATAACTATTTGACTGTTAACACAAATATACGACATCCACCTCTCTCCCCTCCTATATCTACACTATGTCCAGATAATTATACACAAAATTTTGCTGCCTAACCATGATAAATCATATTGGTGCCCTGCTACAGCAAGTCTTGAACATACGAGTACCAACATTTTTGTCAGTGTATATACAATCCCAACATTTGGTCTTATATTTGATTAGGCTACTCTCATTAAAAACTGAAATTGTAACATGATAACCTATTTGATTTATGCTATTATTGTAATTTTCATTGTTGCCGTTGAAGAAAGAAGGAACAGAACATTAATTTTAACGCACACCAAGAAACTAGATTGATTGATAAGTTCTGAATGGTAAAATTTCAAGTGTCCCCACTAAATAATGCTATTTTAAAGAAGGGAGCATCTTATGTAAAAGTATGCAATTTGAATGTTTCTAAAAATGAAAATGATTTAAAGCCAAACAAAACTTTGTATGGTGTAAACCATTTGCGAGCCCCTGAGTTTGTACCACCTTGCACCTGCGCCCTGACTGAGTGTTTATACAAATTTGAAAACAAAGTAACTGCCCTTGATCCAATTAGTTTTATGTAAGAAATCAAACACAAACAGCAATCCCTCAAAACGACCACAACCTGGTAAAACATTATTGGACAACAGTAAAGTTGGGCGTCAGACGATTTTGAAACCAATGTAAACGAAGAAGTGTACTTAAACACCCAACCAACAACTATTTCAAAGACATTTTGAGTATATAGGGTAAAAGTCACTCAAATCATTTCAGTTAATTGTTAGAGCATAGCAGCAACAACCAGACAGTTCCTGCTTATGATGTAAGCAAAGTTTCACGACCCACGAAATCCAATAGCGACAAGTAATTTTAATCCTAAAGAAGAAAATTAGGTGAAAGACAAAAATGGGGAAGGCCCATTGATCAATCAAATACAAGTTCCAATAAACGAAGTAAAAAAATTCAATGCCCAAAACCGTTCCTGAATTCACGATTCAAGTAAAACAAACAATGGGATAATCATCGGTTAAAACAGAAAAAGACAGCTACCGGACTATTAGACACAGAAATTCAAATAGATCAAAGAAAGGAGACAAAAAAAAAAAAAAAAAAAAAAAACCTAGACGCAGAGATAGAGAGAAGGTAGAAAAGGAACCTGATGGAGGTGAGACCGGAATTTCCACAGTAAACACAGCAGTAAGGAGCAGGAGTGTCGCGGTACATGGTTTGGTGGATAGGAACTCCCTGGGGATGGCCAAAAATGGCGTTCGGAGGGATCTGTCCAGCCTGATAAGAGTTATTGCCAACATAGAATGGAATTCCGACGACCGGCTCATCGTTCTTCGACATTTTCCCTAAGCTTTTTCTCTGTGCTGCTCGGCCGGCGATTCGGAAAGTTGTTGGAATGGAAGTCAATGAAATTGTTGCAGGAGAAGAAAGGAGAAACGGTAGAATTACGATGGAAGCAAAAGGGTCGAAATTTCTCGTCAAAATATTCTTAAAAAAAAAAAATAATAATAATAATAATAATAATAATAAAGGAAGAAAAAAATGAATTATTAGCTGGCATTAGTTTGGGTTGGGCCCACACGGAAGCCCACCGTAAAGTATTTTTAAATGGAACATTCAATCAACTAATTACTTGGAATTTATTTGGGAAAATAGAAGCAAAATACTTTATAGTTGTAATTAAGTTTCAATAGTTTTTGAGAGCAGGCCATGAATGATCCAAATTGGTATGAGAATGAGATGAGTATTGTTATGGGGTGAGTTAAAAAGGAGTGTAGAGTTGAACTTGTATGTCTATAAATGTAATCTCTGCATGCAAGCCTACTACTAAACTACTCTGAATTAACTCCATCTCATAAATATTGTATTTCAGACATATAAATGACAATGATGATGTACAAGGGTAATATGGAGATTTTGGGAATTTAGGTTTGGGTAGGCCACAATTATCCTATTTGTTTTTGTGTTTGAAATGGTGGGATTGGAAGGGAGAGAAGAAAGGAGGAGGGGGTGGGGGCTGGGCGGATGGCAGAAGGCCGCAGGGAATATTTGTGCAGAAACAGGGAGAAGCTCGTGGTGTCAGAAGCACTTGGGTACGCAACTTTTCAGAAACATCAAATTAATTTAATTTTAACCTAATTAATAAAGATTCCCCCACTTCCTGCCCAAATTCCTCTTTTGCCCTTCTTCTTCTTCTTCTTCTTCTTTTTCTTTTTTTTATTTAGCATAAATGTTTGAATTTTAGTGGGCGAGGAGCAAAGCCCCAGCCTTGGTTTGGTTTGGGAAAGGAGCGGATCACTCGCCCCAAAATCCAAAACAAAACAAATTAAACTCCCCCTTTGAGGCGCGCGTGAGGCTGCTCCAATTTCCTCTCTTCACTCACACCTGGCACCATTTCTGTTTCTACAGTTCCGAATATATGGGTCCCACCTGAGATATTCTCAACAACTCCCACGCGCGCCTTCTCTCCTTTCTTTTCTTTTCTTTTCTTTTCTTTTACTAACTAAATAAATAAATAAATAAACAAACAATAATTTCATCTTTTTATCATCCCACGACGATAATACGCTTTTCCGTATTCTCATTCTTCCTTCCATCTCATCTCTTCTTCTTCTTTTTCTTCTTCTTCCTCCTCCTCCTCCTCCTCCCCTCCTCCTCCCCTCCTCCTCCTCCTCCAGATGAAATCTCCCGATATGGCGGCGGTTACTGATTCCCTCGAGCAGTCTTTCCGTACCTTCTCCCTCAACCACCGTCTGGTCTCACCTGCCCCCTCGGCCGGTGTTCGTAGGTCGTCGTCTTCTTCTTCTTCCGCCGACGAACGTCATCTTCCTCTTCATCATCATCATCATCGCTTCGACACAACCTTGGAGCTCAACTCTCACATCTCCCTCCCTCCTTTCTGGGAACAATGCCTCGATTTGAAGGTCAGGATCACCATTACCGCCTTTCGCTTTCTGTGTTTTGCGTCTTAATTTTCATTGATTTCAACTCTCACTTCTCTCGCTTTGTTTCTCTTTGTCTTTTTCTCTCTTGTTCCAGCTTCTAATTCTTTCGTTTTCTTTTTCTTTTTTCCTCTTCTTAACCTGCCTTCATTTATTGCGGAAGGGCGCATATGGCAGATCTTTGGAAATTCTGTTGTCTTGTACTTTTGTTTAATTTTCTGATGATTGTGTGTTCGAGAGGGAGCTTTCGTTTCGATCTTTAATTAATGCGTTTCTGAATCCATAAATTTGTCTTTACGATTAATGCCTTGCTTTCTAAATTCTCTCTCCTTCCCATACGGACTCCATCCGCCCTTCCCAGGATTCGGATTCCAAACCCTAGAATTAATTAATTTCATACTCCCTTTTATCGTCCGCCATTTTCAGTTTTCTTTTCGTACGACCTCAGAAAAAGCTTTCTGGATTTCGGATTCCCTTGCCTTCTTTCTTTCTTTCTTTCTTTTGTTTCTTTTGTTTCATTTTCTCCTCGGGAACACTAAATTAACTTTTCCATTCTATTCCGTTTGACTCTCTAGACTGGGGAAGTCTACTATAGAAATTGCCGGACCGGAATGAGAGTAACGGAAGATCCGAGGACAGCGGAAGCACACGGCCGAGATTTATACTCGGAAGATGACGACGACAACGATGCGGATGAGAGCTCGTCGGACGACAGCAGCGAGGAGTCGTGTTCTTCGTCGTCGTACGGTGCTAGTAGGCAGCAATACCCGCCGGGAAAGGAGGAGGACGTGCTAGTGGTTGCCGGATGCAAGAGATGCTTCATGTACTTCATGGTGCCGAAACAGGTTGAAGATTGCCCCAAATGCAGCAGCAGTCGTCTTGTTCATTTCGATCGCTCCGAGGACAGTAATGGCTTCCCATAAAAGAACGAACCACAATTTTTTAAAAATCAAACTGTGTTTGGGTTAATTCTGACATAATCATTGATTCTTTCTCTTTGGATTAATTTGGTGAGCGAAGGCAAATGGGGTTTGATTTCGTAGCTCGATGTATACGCCTCTCTCCCTCCCTTTGACGTTGTTTTATGAGTTTTAATTGTATGGATATATATTTTACAAAGCTTGAATTGAGAAGCTAAAGAAAAAGAAAAGGAATCTGGGGGGGCCGCCATGGATGTGTGAGTGGGAGATGCAGAAAATATGCAGGCATGAATGGGATGATGGTCAACGACTCAAACGAGGAAGAAGGAATAATATTTTGCTCGTGAAGACAGCAACTCATTGCTTTCATTATTCCACAACCCTCTCTGATTGAATCGTACGCAATTAATTTTAATTTTTATGTTGTTTTTTTTATATGAATAATAATGTAAGGAAGTAATTAGAATGGAAATGAAAATGAGACATCCCACACACAACATATGCACAAAGCATGTTAGGGTACGACTCTATTTATACCTGCTCTTCATAATAAAAATGTGAAACCCTTGCTCTTTTCTCATCCCTAATGGTGCATAGTAGCATAATCATATCGTCTTATATTATATCATAGATCATAGATAGGGCATGGTAAATTGCTATTATATCATAGATCTTAGATAGGGCATGGTAAATTGCTATCATATCATAGATCATAGATAGGACATAGCAAGTTGCATAACTAAATCATCTATCATGCTCATCATTTGTATCAAAATGAGTATACGTACATACTTTAATCATCCATCATCCTTTCACAGGTCAGTTTTTTAGTCCATTCCATCATAATTCATCCTAAAAAATGAATACTAGCGGAGTTTTTGAATTACTACTGACCTCTATGGAAGATGATTATGGTCTGAACCGACCATTTCTTCTACCTTGCAAATTTTAGCACAGGCATCTGTTCTTTCCTGTTCTCATTCAGCAACTCTGGTGATTGTCTTCCACCATGAATTTTTTCAATTCCTCCTACGAATCAAAAGAAGCAACTGTTGAGGTAATTAAATTGATTGGGACCATAATCACCCAAAGTTGTTGGTTAATCAGAGGGAGAAAATAAGGGTTTAAAAACCCTAAAGACATACTGTCTTGAAGCAAACTTGAATCTCACAAGTGTAGATGTAATGGATTGGGTCTACAAAATAAACTTGAACTACGCGGTAAAAGCCCATAAAACTCCACAAAGAGTTGAATTGAAATGACCACTCATTTCTATTATATCCATGCCCCCAAAGAGTTCTCACTACTACCGCTATATCCAAACTAATACTCTTTTCTTTGGATACTTTTGGCACTTCTATTTAGAGAGGTTGTTTAAATGGCTGGGATCCGCTTCCAAAGAGATGAAGAATCTAATGGAATAGAGTATGAACGAAAAGCTTTTCTTTCTATTAACTGAATCCGCTTCCAAAATAAATAGAGAATTTCAAAGAGATATATATTCATATATAATTTTTTTTTTTTTATCAAATGACACGTCAATTTGGTTTGGTCCAGTTTTTGTTTTAGCTTAAATGAACCAAATCATGGCTTAGTGGTGCATAGAATTGTATTGTAGCCAAATTCATTGATGATGACAATTCAAGAACTAACGACTTTAATTCTTTAACATTACAATCTAAGTTTGACTTTTATTTATTTCCATTCTTAATTGGTGCCCACTTATATTCAAAGTCAATGCTTAACACTTCATTTTCGACCACGAGCTAACAAGCAAGACAATCATATTAGAGACTTTAAGGTTAAGGCATAATCTATGGCGGTCATAAATTGGAAGACTTTAAGATTAAGATAATTATATTGGAGACCATAAGTTTTAAGTTTAAGACATAATAATCCTTTTCCAATCATTAATTATGATATGATTATCCCTTATGGATTGGATAGAATTTGGTATTCAACAGCTATGGCTATGGCGGTTCAATGTGCCAACATCTATGAACTAAAACCCAACAAAGTGGTTGGAAGAGAACAAACTATGGTAGTCTACCAAGGGATGGTGTGCGGTGGGAGGCAAAGAGGATGGTCAAAGAAAGGCTACATGAATGGATGGAGGAGATGAAATCAAACTTAGTCAATGAGTTCGAGTTCAACAAGTATGGTATGAGAATTTGAGCAAAAATATATACCAATGACTATTGAACTATGCTCATTTTAATGAACTGACGTTAAAGACAAACAGGGAGGCAATATGCAAAGCATATTTCTTCAACATTCTCCACCTCCCCCCTTATTCCAATGCAATGTATAGCACACTTCATTTTGTTCTTAATTATGTTTTGAATTAGGAGGAGGAGATAACGACATGGTCAAAAAGGCACAAAACAACAAACCATCAAACATATATCTCTCTTCTAGACATCGCCACCATTTCTAATTTTTCCGAACCCACTTTTGGGGATAACAGTCTCAATAATAAATACACAATAAACATCACGTTTCAAATAACCACCGCTACCAATTGACTTCAAAAGTCTACCAAAATAGATAATATTCAAAGAACCGAAATTCCAGTACAACTTTGATTCCTTAAATCCCAACTTTCAAGCCAAAAAGTTGGAATTCAACCGGCAAGAACAAATAAAAAGAAAAGTCAGGTAGCATATAAACAAATAAATAAATAATAAAGCAACAGGGAATGATCAATGGAAGTAGGAAGTCTACCCCAGTACCAGAAGTTGCCATAACATAATGTGGCCTATGGCTATACAGAGGGAGTCCAAAAGGAGGGCATGAAATTAAGATTATATCTATATATTTATATATAAATATATTGTCATAATCTTTTTAATATTTCTTAACTAAAAGCGAAAGAGAGATTATTTGACTGTGTCAGAAGACGCGTAATGTTGATCTTGTCCATCTTTTCAGGTTAGGTGGGGGCAGGGGAAGGCATATGGTGAAGCCGTAGTCAACCTGTACACACAACACAATCAAATATATAAAAGCTTTCCTTAACTATTCCCTTTTCTTTCGTTGTTGTTTATTCCATCGAAACAAGTAAAAGTAAACAAAAACGCACAAAAGAAAAATGTGAATAAATGAGAAGCATCCAGGAAGTTTCATGGAACTGAATCCAATCCTAGTTTTTTTATGCCACAAGTCAAAAAGGGAAGCTTTCTTGCCTGACCCTCCTAAACTCCTCTACCGTCCACCCACTTCCCTACAAAGTCTTTCAACTTGTGTAATACCCTTTATTTATTCTCTAAAAAATTACTTTCTTCACAACGTTTTTTATATGCTAACTGAATTTTAAAAATTCAAAACCATGTTAAGTATATGCATTTCAAATAATAATAATAATAATAATAATAATAATAAATAATAATAAATAAATAAAAACGAGCTTCTTTCAAACAAACCCCTAACTTTTGCCACAATTTTTTCCAAGGGTCCAATCCCAACCATTCTCCATAATACATACACATTATTTCAGTATTATTATTTATAAAAAAAAAAAACGGTTTTAAATTCAATATTAAATTTATTATCATTTTGGTTCTCTACTTTTAAATACTTAAAATTTAGTTATTGGTCTATCAATAAATTTGAAATTCAATCTAACAGTGTGAAATCTATTAACAAACCATAAGAACTATCTAGAGATTAAATGGGATATTTCAACAATAAAATGACTTTGTCAGAAATAATAAATACAGTAATAAAATGAACCAGGGAAGGCCTTAAAGGCCTTAACCAATCCAGTTTTATACTATCATTCACTCAAAAAGCTATCAAATGGAATTTCCCTATCTCAACTCTCTTCCAACTAAAAGTTCGCTTCTCTTCTCTCGTACTCTTTATAGGCGATACAATCAGAGAAATCAATATAAGAACAATAATCCTATTTTTTTAGAAAAAACAATTTATAATTATTACAAATCAACAGTATCCACCCATCGTTGTTTTCAATAAACCGGCCTAAGCTACCAAAGAATAAGACTACACACCGAGGGAAAAAAGCTTAGCAAGAATTTTGAAGGCAAGTACAAAAAGAACAAATAAGGGATAAATAAATAAATTGGAAAATAATAATAGCAGTGTGTGATGGATTTCTCTTAGTTATGCAAATTTAGTTTACAGGGAATATGGATCATTACCTCTCCTTACGTTTCTCCAAGAATCTCTGAAGCGACTTCTTCCTTGCAATTGGTAGATCTGCTGAAAAAACGCAACTAATTAGCATGTATTTTAGACAAAATATGAAAATAGTAAAAGGAAATGCTGATAAATATAAATATCTTCATAAAAATATATATATTATATATCAGTTCAGTACAAGTCGGTGGATGCTTAATCACCTCCGTCGAGAGATGCAAGCAACCGTTGCTGGCGGTCGGTGGATGGGATTGCAACCGTAGGATTCGCTTCAGCTTTTCCTTCCGCAACGAGTTTCAGAATGCTCTCGGCCTAAACGAATTTTTTCACGCCACAAAGAAAGAAAGCGATTGATTAATTAATCGGGAAGCAACAAAAACAAAATCAGTTACAGAAAAAGAAAAAAAAAACTGATGTAAAAGTCGTGTACGTAAGACGATGATACAGAGGTGGAACGAACCTTATCACGAGGAACGTCAAAAACGGCGACGGTTCCGTTGTAGAAGATAGTCATCGGAGATGTATGTTGAAGAGATTCAGAAGTCGGCCTGAGAAGCAGAAAGGGGAGCGAAAACGATGAATTCGGAGGAAATTGGAAACGGAATCGGAAACACGCTGAAGTAGGTAGGATTTTGTGTAATATTACCTGAAGAGAGGGTTATAGAGAGGCAAAGGCGAGAGAAGGTTGTGGTTGGCGTCCTTGGGAGTGGGAGGCAGAGCAATGGAGGCAGATCCAATGACAGATTTGAGAAGCTCGGGGTTGATCTTGGAAATGGCGCTGTGAATGCCTGCAAAGAGAGAAAAAGAGAATTAGGCAAATGAAAAGGAAAAGTAAGATATAATAATAGGGATTGGGGAGGAGAGGAAGAGGAGGACCTCGAAAGCTTCTCTTGCGGTGAAGAAGGTTGTGGAACTGAGACCTGGAGGAGGCCTTCTTCTCGAGGCCGAAGAAATCAAGCTCGACAGTAGCCCTAGCCATGGCGGGAGAATGGAGGAGGAGGAAGAAGAAGAGGGAATTAGAGGAAAATAGCGTTACAGAGAGTTACAGAGAGGGAAAGAGACGGAATATTGAAGTACTAAATAAATAAGAGAAAGTTGAGAGTAAATAGTAAATGAAAGGCACGAGCTACATGGGATGACCGCTTTAATGCGACACGTCTTCCACGAGGCCTTTAACTTCTATGAAATAAAAAATCTAATTTAATAAAAATACATTAAAATTTTATATCTCATCTCAAAAATATCTTTAAATTTAAATTTTTAATATTTAAAAAAGCACGGTCTTCATTCAAAAAATACCTTTTTAACTTTTTTTTTTTAATACATTTTTAATTTTCGTTTAAAAAATATCTAAAATTTCAAAATTAAAACACCCAAACGGACAGAAAATTAAAAATAATATTAAAAAGTGTAGAGATATTTTATGAGCTTTTAACAAAAAAAAAAATAATAAATAAATAAATAAATAGACAAACGGAAATTACTATAGAATTTATTTGATTAAAATAAAAAAAGAAGAAAAACATGGGATTTTATTGATGTTTGGTGTAAAATAGTATGGATAAATAAGAAGTAGACATCGTCAAAGGCGGAGTAATTGGTTTGAATTTGATTTGTTTGAATAAGAAAAAGAAATGTTAGGAACATTAATTTATAATACAGTTTAAGGAAAAGTGAAATAAATATGAATTTTAAAATAAGAAAATAAGTAGTTGCTATTTGAACCACTCTTTGTCGTGTGATAGGATAACAATGACACAAAATATGTTATAATATTAAAATATTCAAATATTAAATTTGAAGAATATATTATAATATTATATTGAAGTTTTTAGAGATTAACCTTTAATTTTTTTTTTTTTATGAAATATTATTAGATTTAGCATATTGTCTTTATCTTTTTAATAAAAAAATTATATTAGAAAATAAAAATTATCTAAAATAATTTAATTGAATTAATTAAAATGAATAATACATAGGTGAATTAAAAAAAAATGAAGAGAGGACTCATTCAAACTGTTATTTAAAAATTTGATACCATTATTTTACTAACATGAAAAAATGGTGGACCTATTTGAGAATTTGACTATTCTTATTAAGTTTGGAAGAACAATATATTTTTATGAATTTGACCAAAAATATTTTTTTTAAAAAGGAAAATAAATTGTTGGGTGACCTTACTATCTTTGTATTTATTTTTTATTTTTAGTGCAAAAAAGTAAAAGAAAAAAAAAAAGAAATAGTTGAAAATTGGAACCAATTTGTGAGAACCAGGAAAAATAAATTGTTGAAGTTCCATTTATATCCACGACTTTCCCGTTGGAGCCATGATTCACGAGATAATTGTTAAGCCAGTTTTTTTAATAATAATAAAAACGTACAGGGTTTTGGTTTGGTGTGGTGGAGTGTTGTTGCGCTGCGTGTTGTCGTGTCGGCAAAGACACGAGGATTTGGTGATTTCCATAATTGGACGAATATTGGGCCTTAAATTTGGGCCCATTTGGACATTTGTGGCCTTTTTCTCCCAGGTGACTTGGCGATTAAGGAACACGTGACTCAAATGTCCTTTATCCAATCACATTCCTCCACGCATGCCATTCCTATATCCACGATGGTTGCTGACACCGCATGTTCAAATCGGGCCATTGCCAGCCAATCGGATCCCTCCGTGGGCCCCACCCATGGTTTTTCAGGAAACTCGGGACTTGTTTAGGTTACAATCAATTTAAAATTACGAACGCTAATACTTTATTGGAATGTTTTATTAATTGTTTAATAGCCTATGCATGTGTGTATAATTTCACATATTTAAACTATTTTAAGCTTTTAGGTACAAAAACATATACATATTATTTTATTTTTCTTAAACTTAGACAATTTAGACAGTAATCTTTAATTACACAATATCGTTACATATCTCATCTACATGCATAGTATTTAATTTTTATCTATATTATTTACCCTTTTAATAGGCCTTCAATATGATCAAAGTATTGTTGGGAGATGTTTAATATTAAAAAAACAAAGGAACAGAGTGATGTTCTTCCACGTAGACGCCGAGATGGATTTGGACATAGATCCTCGTTTCGGTACACTGAAACGGGCTGAAGCCCCATTTAAGGGTATATGGGCCTGTTAATGGGCTTGCTTATTTGCTCGCGCTTATTTCACAACACTTCCCAACATATGCGAACTTCATAATGATTTTTTTTTTCCTTTTTTTTTTAATCTTTTTAAAAAAATCAATTATCTATTTGGTTGCAACTTTTTTCTGTAATATTATATAATTTTTATATATAATTAAATTTTATGAACTAATATTTTTACAGCAGAATCCCAGTACAAAAAATAAATTAATACACTATTTGTGAAATATCTTTTTATTTTTTCTTCTCATGGTCAATTTGATGCTAGTTACCGATATATTTTTTTTTTAAAAGTTGATTTCAATGATTAAATATAAATTGATTGATTATAAGTATATCGATCTTTGTTTGATCTAGACAAGGACATAGAAATATGATTTAATATCATACCCACGTATGTATACATCTTGGGAATATTAGTTTGAGCTGATATATGTTTTTACGGTATTCTATTCTTGTTAAAATAGATTAGGTTAAAATTGTGATATTAAATTAAAACATTTAGAAGAAATAAAGTATTGAATATTGAGTTGTATAATTAAAATAAAAAGAAACTGAATAATGACAAAAAAGACTTTGCAATAAAATAATAATTTGGTAAAAACGCAGCGGCTTTGCGTTGCGTTGTTGGAATTATTAAACCAGCTTAATCATTACAAATGTATAATTCGTTATTTTTAATTCAATTATTTAAAAATAAAAAGAAAAGAAAAGAGTAAATAAGAAAGAAGTACGTATTGGGCCCACCGGGGGTGGCCCCCCCATGAAGTCCGGCTTTGCACGCGCAGTCAGGTTCCAGTGGGACCCACATCCCGCGCACGTCCATGCAAACACCTCCCCTCTCTGGGTCCCACTTTCCACGCACGTCCATGCTGTCTTTTTACCCTTTCCCCTATCAATTTTTTATTTTATTTTATATTACACTCTTTAATTTCATTTCATCCTACAAGAACCAAAAATAAAATAAATAATTTAATCCCGACCTTTCTTTTATTATTTTTTTAATTAAAAAACAGACAAATCTGCCACCAATGAAAAAAAAAAACACGACTGCAGCTCGAAATCCCAGAAAATTCTACTGAAAATTGTTCATACTACTTAGAACTGGTTGATTCAACAACCAGTGTAATGTAGCAATTGGAAGAGTACGTGCATACTTCATACTAATGAGTTGACTCACAAAACTTGCATTAACTCGAGCGTTGAAGTATGCATCTCGAGCTCAATACTGCAATAACGATGCATAGTCCTATCTATTTTGGAGGGCGAATTTGATGATTAAAATGATGGTACTTTTTAACACTCATCAACAAGTAGAAAACATTTATAGCTTTTGTTAATACCCTTTTTCTAGGTGGTTTCGATGCATAAATGATTCAAACTCCACAATCTCATTGCATACGGTTAAATTCTGTAATAATTAATTGTTTTTTTTTTTTTACATTTTTTATAATAATAAAAAATAAACAAATAAATAAAAGAGATGAAGGCTTATATTGGAAGGCAACAAAGCAATTTTGATGAGAAAGTCGGAACCCTTTTGCCTTTTTAATCATTTCTCCCACAGCCCACTAGAGAGGAGAAGGGATCAAAACCTTTCAACGTTATATATATTTATATATAAATTCAGACTTGAATGAAAGTAAAAAGGCAAAAACAAAAACAAAAACAAAAACTGAATCTTAGCTTTGCCTCTAAGACTTGTCTCCATCACAAGATTGTGTGTTTTTTTTTTTTTTTTTGGTGGGGCTTACCACTCATATTCACTCCTCATCCCTCATTTTCAACATTTACGTTCTAATTTTAAATAATTTGAACGGCGCCTCTAAAATATTTCAACTAATTAAGACATATATTTTAGTTCCACATATTCAAACGAGTTCTATGGAGTCCCATGTTTGTGCAGCTCCACCACATGCATGCACTGACATGCACACTCATTATATCCACGCACACATTTATTCATTTTATGCACACACCCAACTCCCCACTTAATATTATTATTTAATCTTCATTTACTTTTTGACTATTGTTTTTTTAATTCTTTGATACACAATGAGGCTATTATTTTCAACCTTCATTCTTGAATTATTCCTTCATCATTGTAATTTTTAACCTTTTTCGCTCTTTTCTTAATCTCTTCTATTTTCAACATGCTCATCTATGTTTATAAGAATCACACACAACCATCTACAATTAAACAAGAATTTGTCTCCAAAAGACACATACTCAATCTCCCCTCCTTTATGCTTCCTGGTCTAAATTGCTTCAAGATCTCTCTAATTCAAACTTTGACCAACAATAACTTCAACCATTTTTTTTCTGAACAATAAAGACAAAAAAAAAAAAAAAAAAAAAAGAAAACACTAGAATGTTGAGTTAGTTGAATAAATAGGAGGGGAGAGTGTGTGTGGTGTGGAATAAGTATGGTGATGGTAGTGATGATGGCATGATGATGAGATTAAAGGCCAATATGAGAAATATTGATTTTCCTTTTCTTTTGTTTTCCTTTTTTGGCGGGGTTGAAAAATTATAATTATTAATATATGGTATGAAGTGGGGAAAGGTAGTAGGGATTAGCCTACATTTCTTTAATGGGAACATTCCCACCTTTCTAACACTTCATCAACTACTTTTAAGCCCGTGTCTGTATTTTCAGGCCTTGTATATTTTTAAATTACTCGAGCGGAAACAGTTGCTAAATTTTATTAAAAATGTAAAAATACCAGATAAAACCCTACCATATATTAATTTAATTTTTTTTAAAACAAACTTTTAATTGTATATAAAGAAGAAGAAGAAAAAAAAAGAAGAAAAAAAAAAAAAAGTAGAGTGGAGCGGCACATGGTTAATTTGGTTACGTACCCATAACTATTTAATTTAATCAATTTATATTTAATTTGTTAAAAAAAATTAAAAAAAAGAAAAGAGAAAAAAACAGGACAGCCTCCATGGCTGATGCTTCCCATCCCATGTGTCGTTTTGTATGTTTCGATTCTCGGATCGAGGACGAACACCATCATTATCATTCTCTCTCTCTTCTGTTTTTTTGTTTTTCTTTAATTTATTTTAATAATTACCTATTTATTATTATTATTAGTTTTCTTTACTTGGGTTGTTCTATTTTATATTAATATTAATATTCCCCCACTGGATTCCTTTTCCTTTCACTTTTCGTGATCTCCATAAAAAAAACTGGTTCTCTCCTAACTCCATGACTTGGGGTTTTTTTTTTCTTTTCAAAATAAAACGGTAATTACCTGACTATTATGCATAAAAAAAAAAAAAAAAAAAAAATTAAAAATTTGTTATTACAGGAAAATATATCACTTGTTTATGATTGAGGTTGCAAAACATAATCACATATAACACGGTTATATTCTCGATTGAAGAAATAATCTTTTCATATTGTCTTTGATCGAACAAAATTAATGAATGTGTGATTGAAAAATAATAATGTTGGAGAGTAAAGTTAAAGGTGTAACAGGTGGGATTCCTTTTTCCCCAATTCCCCAAACTAAAATGTGAGCTAAATGAAAAGGACCCTTTTTGTGATATTGTAAAATCGACACCCTTTTTCCTCTTCCTCATGTTGTCTTCTCATACATACCCTCAAACCTTTTTTCAATTGAAAATGGTTGGAGTTTCACGTTGGATATATAAGTAAGAGACATTATCTTATTCGTATAATACTCTTTTGAAGAAACTAAAAATAAAATCACTAGAACTAGAATTTATATGGAGAGCGGACCAATTAATTAAATTTTATTTATTATATATTATTGTGAAAAAAAAAATAAAAAATAAAAATGGATTTGAATTATATAGGTCAGCTTATTGGTGTGTGTGTGTGTGTTTGTTCCTCTCTGTGTCGACCCACAAACTTCCAAACAAAGAGAATTAATGGGAAGTGAGATTTGCAGCATCCATTCTCTCCTCCTTCTCGTCTCTTCTGCACTTTCCCAATATTCTCTGCTTTTCTCTCATATTTATATACATAAAATTCCCTCCCTCATGCCTCCCTCTTCCTCTCACCTCCGCCTCACATGAACCAAATGGTCCCTCTACCTCCGCCTCCTCCGCCGCCTCCTCCGCCCTTCCCTTTTCCTCTCATGAATCATTTTCAACCTTTCCATAACAATTCTAACAATAATTCTCTTGATCATCATCATCATCATCATCTCTTCCCTCTTCAACACCATCCCACAACAACTAACCAAACCCCTTCCGCTCCCAAAGATCGACCTCTTCACGACACCCCCGACGAGGGATGGCTTCGCCTTAGCATCGGAGCTGCCACTCCTGATGTTGTCGTCCACCATCATCGTCCCCAACCGCCAGGCTTCCGCTTTGGATTGACCGAGCTCGATTTATTGTCCCCCGGAGGCCTCAGTTCCAAAGGACATGAGTCATCCAGCGTTGGGGATTCTTCTCCCGGGATGGTTTTGGCTCAGCCGCCACCCGAGCTTAATTGGACATTTAGACCTATCTCCTCTCATAACCCTTCATCCTCTAATTGTTCTTCCTCTTCTCTTCCATACGGACCTTACTTTTCCACGCCCTTTCAACTCCACCCCGGACTTGACTTAGTTGCTGCTGCCACCACCGCCGCCGCCGCTGCCGGACCCAGCTCCGACAACAACATCAGGGTTGTCGACCCTCCTCGCAGCCCTCATTCCGGGATTTGGTTTTCTCTTCAACCTTGGGAATCAAACCAGTAAGAAAACTCAATCTAATTACACCCCATATCTTAATTCTTTGTGCAATTCGTATAATAATTTCTTGTTTAATTTTTGCAATACAGAGGGAAACAACCGGCGTTGCCTCAGAGATCCAGCTACTTGCGAATCAAGTATTGATTTTTTTTTTCATCTTCATTACTCAAAATTGGTTCTTTGTTAAGTAATTAGCACGTGGGTTTTATTTAGAAGTGATTATTTTGAAATTTTGGGTGTAATAATTAAATTTGATCTTTATGAAGGGATGGAAGGATGACAGTTCGATTACTAATCAAGTACTTGGTGAAAAAGCTGAGGCTGGATAACGAATCAGAGGTATTTATGAACAACATAATTTCTTTATTATTATTATTTTTTTAATTTTTGATTTGTTACCCAGAAATCAAACTTGTAGAACATGAAAGAAACAGCACAACTAAAGTAAACACATAAGGGTTATATTTTACATTACATTAAAAGCTAGAAAAACACAACAAAAACAGAAATTTAGGATTAGTTTAAGAAACCTATGGGTTTGATTGAGATGAAAAGCTTTTGTCTTGTCGAAATCTAGGGAATTGGGGTTTTGTTGTTTCTAACAACTGGGGCTCAAGCTTTCATGTCTGCTTCGTTACGGATGCTTGTTTTTTTTTTTTTGGTTGGGTAACAAAAAAGAAAGCATAAAACATACACTAACCAACAACCGCTCCCCTTTCCAAAACCTACAAAAAATGAAAAACATTACACTTCCTAAACCTAAAACTTAGAAGAAGGGTTGCTATTTTGCCATTTTCAGAACCAAACCAAAAACTCTTCCTCAACACCATATAGCGAACAACCTAAGCAACGACAACCTTAAAATAATCGAAAATAAAAACTTCTCAGCTAAACAGTTTAAACAGATCGAAAAAAGCCGCCTAGAATAGGTGTAGCCACTTATTGAAATGTGATAATTTTAGGTATTATCCATACATGTTACTTCAATTAATGAATGGAAACTGCTTAAATGTTCATTAGAAGTGTGTGAGGGTTAAAATTGTTCATAATTGTTGCATTATATTGCTTCTGCCTTACACTTCATGATGAAATACCCACTATTATATGTCTTCTTTTCTAATAATTGCATTGCCTTAAAAGTTTTCTTCCTACGCATTATAATTTTTTTTCTCTCCATTATTTGTGCCTAAAGTTAGCTTTGTTTCGCACGAACGCAACCATTTTCTCTTTATTATTATACATTTTCATTTCTACGCTCATTCCTTTAACCAATGGCATGCAATCCCAAGAGAGCCTTTCTTTTTCCCTTTTGCACTCGATGCATTATGAATTGCTTTCTTTTCTATCTTTTCCAACTGGAATACTATACGTCGTCAAGATTTTAAAGGGAATGATTCGGAAAGTGTTTGTTTTTTTTTCGTAATTTCTCGGGTTTCGTTCTTTGTAAGGAAACCCGAGAAAACGAACGTATAAGGTAAAGAAGATTTAGTGTGATATTTTGAAACATGCATGCATGATGATATGAATATACATGTGTGTAACTATTCCCATGATCATCATTCATGCATGTTCTTCATGATGCTCCAAACAATATCAAACCAACACTGAGCTAATCTCTTATTTTATGTTCAAAAGACTTTGTTTTTGTTTTTGATATCTTGCATTTATTCTTTGAAACGGACTTGGGATAATACAAGTATAGAAAATTAGGAAGCAAGATCATTAGGGTTGTCTTAATCAACAAAATTAATTCTCTTAATTATTATGTCTATGTTGATTTCAAGCCAGTTGTCTTTCGTTTTTAAAAATTATTATACATATGTTTGATTATTTAGGATATGTATATGCCATAATCAGACATTCCATTCGATTAAACTAATCATTAACTTGTGTCTAAGCATTATTATTGTTATTAATTAGGAGTCAACTCTAATTATTGATTTATGGATGCATTTGTTTTTTTTTTTTTTTTTTTTTTTTTTTTTTTTTTTTTTTTTTTTTTTTTTTTTTTTTTTTTTTTTTGTCTTATTGCATGCTCTTCATGTCATGAACAGACAGCTATGTCATGCCTTATTCTATTCATAGGGAGAAAGAGAGAGAAGAGTTAGGATGGTTGACTAATTAGGGCTAACTCCTTCCTTCATCGAACAAATTAAAATATTAACCATTTTAAGTTTATATTTTTTAATGAAAGATTAGAGGTTTAAATCACTGTTTTTTTTAAAATGGTGTTGGTCTTGGTTTCTTTTTAATATATATTTTAATTGTATATTGGAGTATAATATTATTTTATGTTTCTACGTGCCGCCTACGTATTCCATATACGGATTGGACTGGCATGCATGGAAAATGCACAGTTTTTTTCTTTTTTTTTTTGGAAAAAATATGCAGTTTGAAATGGAATATAGATTAAGGAAAAAGAAAAGGTACAGAAGTAGAAGGGAAGGGATGGGATGAAAGGTGATATCATCGTAGGGCCAGGAAACTTCCACCTCACCATCTTATGTCATGCTTTCGTCTCTGCCACCTCACCATCTTCTCCTTCCCGTTTTCATTTTTGCTTCAAAAGTTGTAATCAAAGCCTTTCTCTCTCCTGTTATTTATTTATTTTTTTTAATAACCAACCAATGAATTGAAGAGAGATAATAATAAAATAATAATAATAATAGGAAGAGTTAAATTTTTTTAATTTGAAGGGGAAAAAAAAAAAAGAAAAGGGAATGATTTGAGGTATTAGGACTGTGAAAGAGACTTGCATGAGCATGAGATATAAGATTTTGATAATACGAAGTGGGGGAATAGGCGCAATACTATGGTTGGTGGGTCCTTTTATTCATTAGGGTTTCGGGGCGACATTGTCATCTTGTTCATGATTACGTTGCAGTAGCTCAGCGCTCAGGCCGTCCCTAGGTTTATGGATTTGATATTAGGTTTATGGATTTGATATGAGTTTATAATACAATGAAGGTTGATTTCAGATAGAGATACGATGCAGAGGAGAGAAGGTGGAGGGTTGCTTGACGATGCAGCATGTTAGAGATACCATTTGGTGCTCCAAAGACTCAACGCTTACAACTTTGCTTCCAAATTCCTCAACCATTGATCACATTATGGTTCTTCACTACGCCATTCTTCCCACTCTTGACTCTTCTTCTCTTTCTTAATTTATTCTAATAATCCCATTATTACCATCTTAGTATATCATTATTATTATTTCTCTAATCCAAATCTTCCTTTTCTTCTCCTTCTTACCTAGGGTTCTCCCGCTTTAATGAATTTACATTGTTATTTAACCCCATATTTCTTACTTTATTAATCAAAATAAGTTATTATTAAGTTATTGTTCTTAACCTTCTTTTATTACTGTAACCATTGAATGAAAAGGGTAAATTTTAAAAACTTCTAAAATAAACAAAAACTTCACCCCAAATTATGTACTCTATAAGTTATGAAAATGACCTAGATTGGGTCAAGCCCAAGAAAACGTATGGACAGAAGGAATTCAACATTTGCTTGGGCTTGGGCTTGGTCTTGGGCTTGGCTCTCTTATTTGTAGGCTAAAACTATTTGTTCCATGGGCTTAAGTTACATCTTTTGTACGTGAGCTTTATCTAAGAAAATATGAAGGGAAATGAAAATCAACAATAAAAAAAAAAATTAATAAATAAATCGTATTAGAAAAGTATAAACCAATTTTATTTGTACATGTTATCTAATAAACAAATAAAAAAGTTACATGCAACAAAAGAATAAATAAAGAATATAAATAAGGGGGTGATTACAAGTGAATGGGATTGGGCGACGAGGAAGGAGTCGACGTTGAGGTCCACAAAGTGAGAATAGTTGCCTACTTGGCACCTGACGGATGACTGGTGGCTGACTGGTGGCTGCTGCTGCTACGACAAAAATACAAATGCGATTATGTGCAACCTATTTTACCTTTTCTGGATCGCTGACGTGTACGCCCCGATTTCATTCACTCCCTTTTCCCTCACTTTCCCCCACCGCCCCCTCTTTTCTTTATTGATTTTAATTTTTTTTTTTATTATTATTTCCATCTGCCCCTTACTCGTCTACTCCCTTCGTTGTATATTCTTCTTCCCGTCCGCCTCGATTCCCAGTCGGGTTAGGTTATAGTTCGTACCTCTCACCAGTTTCTTTCTCAACGCTGCGGATTACAGATCTCATATCAATTTTCTTTCTTAATTCAATCAACACTGCGTTTTTCTCTGTTCTAATTGGATCCCTCCCTAAGAAGAAGAAGAAAGAAAGAACATCGCCAATTCCGAACTATTTTAATTTAATTTTTGAATGTCCGGAGTGTAATTTCGGTTGGAGATCCATCGTTTTCTTTTGTTTTTCTCGTCCCTCGCTTCCTCCACTTTCTCAGCAATACTATTCATGGACTTTTCAGATCTGATTCGAACGATTTTGTCGAAATTTTCCAAGAAACCCTAGGTGGTGTTGATGGGGAAAGACGGGAGTGTTAAAATTGAAGGCGTCGAAGAAGGGGAAGTCTCTTTTACAGCTTCGGTTCAGGAGATCAGTGAGGAGGATTTTATTAAGCTTGAATCTGGTCCTAAGGTAGTGCCCCCCAAAGATTCCAATCGGGAAACTAGAGTTTGGACCATGAGTGATTTGTATAAGAATTATCCCACCATGCGTCATGGTTATGCTTCCGGTTTGTACAATCTTGCTTGGGCACAGGCCGTGCAGAATAAGCCTCTGAATGATATTTTCGTTATGGAGGCCGACCCCGAGGAGAAATCTAAGCGGCCGTCTTCCTCTCCTTCTGCGGATGGGAAGGGTGATGGCGGTAGTATAAAAGAAGAGGATAGAGTCGTGATCGATTCTAGCGGTGATGAAATGAATTGCGATAATTCGAATGGAGAGAGAGAGGAAGGGGAATTAGAGGAGGGTGAAATTGATATGGATACGGAGTTCATGGAAGAGGCTGTTGATTCCAAAGCAATGTTGTCCGACAGTCATTCTATGATTGATAGTGAGGGTCAGGAACTTGATTTGATGACTAAGGAGTTGGACGACCAACTGATACTGATTCAGAAAACATTGGATGGTGTTACAATCGACTCGGCCCAGAAGTAAGTGAACCGATTTACTTGAGTTTTCGATCAATGTGAATGGTGTTTTGTGATGCGCCCCCGATATGAAATCTCTAGGCTCTGGAATTGACAACCTGATTTCTTTCTTATAGATCGTTTCTGGAAGTTTGCTCCCAACTACAGAGTTCTATAGAGATGTTTTTGGAATTGCTCCAGGTAAAGGTAGTCCCGAGAAAGGATGCGCTCATTCAACGGTTATATGCTGCTCTTCGAATAGTCAATTCTGTAAGGCATCTCAATAATTTCCCGCCCTCTTTCGTTTGGCGAATAAATTTTATTTTGCCGGAAATCTTATTTAATGTATATTATTGATTGACGATAATGACATTGATCACTGGAGACGTTTAATTTTCATCTCAGGTGTTCTGTTCCATGAGCCTCAATGAAAAGGAGGAGTACATGCAACATTTGTCGAGGTTTTTTCTCATCCTAGTCCGTAGTTTCGTATTCATTGTCGAGGGTTAGTCTATTTGTTCACCATCTAACGACCAATTGCTGTGATGCTGTTCATAGGTTGCTTTCTTATGTTAAAAATTGCGATCCTCCTCTCTTTTCTCCTGAGCAGATAAAATCGGTACAGTAAACCATCCTTAGTTTGCTTGTTATAATCCTTGTGATGATGTTGATATCTTATGAATGCGATTTTGGTGTGTTCTAGCTAAAGTCAGAATATTTTCTACAGGTAGAGGTCAAAATGCCATCTACAGATTCCCTCTTCCATTTGCCCGGCATGAGAGCCAGTGCTAAAGAGGTCGAGATCCATATGCCTAATGGGGTGAAAAATAAGGATTCCTATTCTGCATATACAAATGCTGGTCAACATTTGACTTCTTCAACTAAATTCCCTTCGAACTCCATGCCTGTAGGGATGACAGCAAAAAATAGCCTAAATATCTTATCAGAAGGTTTGCAATCTGGGGTATCTAGCCTAAAGGGTAGAGCCCCCCTACTCCCTCTGTTAGACCTTCACAAGGATCATGATGCAGACAGTCTCCCGTCGCCTACTAAAGAAGCTCCTACAATTTTTTCTGTCCAAAAATCAGGGAATACCCCTGCAAAATTGGTCTTTGCTGTAGATGGATCTAGATCGCATCATTATGAAACTGATGCTCATAAAGCTGTTTCGACCTATCAACAGAAGTTTGGTCGAAGTTCCTTTTCAATGGCTGATAGACTTCCTAGTCCAACTCCTTCTGAAGAATATGATGGGGGTGGTGATATTGGTGGGGAGATTTCTAGTTCTTCCATTATCAGAAGTCTAAAGTCTTCAAATTCTTCTAAACCGGGTCAAAATGTATCAAACTCTGCCTCTAATATATCTACCGGTCTGTTTTCTAGCTTGGAAAGTTCCAGCACTAAAGGACTGATTAGTCCTCTAAATGTTGCTCCTCCAAGTTCTGTGTCAGATCCAACAGTTAAGCCTTTAGCAAAAAGTAGGGACCCTAGGCTACGAATTGTCAATTCTGATGCAAGTGCAATGGGTCTTAATCCACGCACAATGATTTCAGTGCAGAATTCTTCTATGTTAGAATGTGCTGCAACCATAAACTTGAGAAAGCAAAAGATGGATTTGGAGCCTAATACAGGTGTCCCTGAAATAAAAAGGCAGAAGATTGGATCTCAGAATCATGCAGTAGCTGCTAGTGATGTGAGAGCTGTCCCTGGAAGTGGTGGCTGGTTGGAAGATACCATGCCCGCTGGACCCAGACTTCTAAATAGGAATCAGATGGAGATTGCTGAAGCAAATGCAACTGAAAAAATCAATGTTACAAACAATTCTAGTCCTGGAAACGACGGCTGGCCTACTATAAATGCTAGCAATGATGCTTCCTTGCCCTCACTGTTGAAAGATATTGTTGTGAACCCAACCATGCTCCTAAATTTACTTAAAATGAACCAAAAGCAACAATTAGCTGCAGAATTGAAATCAAAGTCGAGTGAATCTGAAAAAAATACAATTTATCCTACGAGCTTGCGTCCTTGCCAAGGATCTAGTCCACTTATAAATGCTCCTGCTGTGACCTCAGGAATTTTGCAGCAATTAGCAGGAATGCCAAGTGTACCAATAGTGGTTGCTGAGGTAAGCGATTGTTGACTATTTCACAACATTTAAATTTATGCCCAATATTTTCCTATGCTCTTCTTATGCATATCTGTTTTTCAAAGGGTGCTTCTTTGCCTCTCCCCATGTGCAGTATAAAATTTCTTATTGCTTATTGTCTTCGTGATAAGAGATTGCCTTCCAATCAAATGGTTGATAATTTCCTTTACACAAGTGCTTGGGTGACCTTGCTTCTAATCTGACTCAAGAATTTAACAAATGACATTTTGGTTATGATTGTTCTGGTATGACCCAAGTATTTATCAAATGCCAATTTTTTTTATTTAAACCGATGGTGGAGCGTGTTTTTTCCTCCATTTTTGGCATGTTATCTATGCTGTTGAAGCATTTGTGACATTGTTTATCATTTCCTGTGCATTAAAGTATCTGTATTTTTATTCTAGATTGGTATTGTGTTTTTTTTTAAATATTGCACATCTCATCATTTTCAGAGTCATCAGGATGATTTGGGAAAAGTTCGTATGAAACCTCGTGACCCTCGCCGTATCCTCCATGGTAATTCTCCTCAGAATGTTGGGAGCTTGGGAAATGATCAGATAAAAGGAGTTGTACCAACTACTCCGAACTCAGAAGGATGTAAGGACATACCAACTGGGCATAAGCAGGAAAGCCAGGGAGATTTGAAATTAGCTTCTTCACCAACATTACTACCTGATATTGGTAGGCAGTTCACTAACAATCTGAAAAATATTGCTGATATTATGACTGTTCCCTCGCCACCGACTTCACAGAATTCATCATCAAAGCCAGTTAAATTGGGCAGGATGGATACTAATGTTGTAGGGTCAAGCTCTATAGACAATAAAGTTGTGACAACTGCTACCCAAGAAGGAGATATGGTTGAGCCCTCTCGTTCACAGGGTACATGGGGAGATCTTGAGCATCTATTTGAGGGCTACGATGACAAGCAAAAAGCTGCTATCCAGAGGGAGAGGGCAAGACGAATACAAGAGCAGAAAAAAATGTTTGCTGCACGTAAACTCTGCCTCG